TACGGAGCATTTCCCTCCGTATACCTCACAATGTCGTATTGCTGTCTGTGAGGTATACGGAGCATTTCCCTCCTGCTACAAACTAGTCATAAACATAAACTAGTTTGTAGCAGAGTTAAAGTCTAACACCTTTATTTTTGTCACGGAGGCTTTTGGACTACTTTAATCAAAGATGTATATCAGAAAAAGCCTAACAAAGCAGTCCTAATGATCTATGTCTAAATTCATAGAAGCTCATCTTCATGAGTACGCTTTTACGTCACAGCCAAGAGCTCCAAACCTGTTTACCTGCATTTTTTCATCACATTAGTTCCAGTGATGCACTACACGCCCAAAGGCCAAACATGATTGGCAAAACAGCACCGGCTCATTCACCCAGACTAAAAATAATACATTATGTCATAAAAATCACTAAAAGGCTCCAACCACACTACAGCTGCTTTCATAAAGTTAACATAGCGTGCATTAATCAGCTCACTCTTCCTACATGCTGCCACAAGGACAGGTCATGTGTTACAAACAGACAGAAGAAAAATAGGGGTCAAGGCCTTACCTCACCACCTGCAGTTTACTTTTAACAGCCAAACGAGAAATAATCAAAAGTGAAATCCTGTTACTGCGGTCAGGCACTTTTCATACATCTTCCCTGCTGAACGAGTCCGGGCTCAGCTGGGCTGTTCAGAGCTTCATTGTCTTGTTGTTCTCAGGTGATTTGTCAGGCTCAGGGGATCAATGTGCTCTCTGCTAGTCTTCGTTCAGCCTTCTGTGTTTTCTTAACTCCACCCTCACCTGCTTCACCATATCCTTCTCCTATTTACTCCTTCCTTCTTCCTCCTTTCCACCTCCCTCCTCCTCAGCGTGTGCTGATGTGCTCTACCACATTCTGTAATGTGCTTTTCCCTGAAGTACAGCAGCGACTTGTGACCCTTGCCTTCCTCGTCTTTGTGTAAGGAAACCGGTACTGTTGCTCGTTGTAATTTTGTTTCAGTCGCTGGGCCTTTGTTAAACGTGTTTGGTAGTCTTTTGCTCAGAACTGGTATAGCAAGTTCTGCCATCTCTGGAGTATTTAGTGAAAAGATTATCTTTGTCCAAAGAATTCACAGCAACCACATAACAGATTCTGTTTTGTGTTTAGTGCAAAATATTTACACCTAAAATTTTAATGTAGGGGGTGGAAGGAGAGTCTGTAACCTTCACTGTACAAAGACACGGTTACTTACAGTATATTTACAAGTAATTATTCATATGACAGCAATACTTGATGTTTACAATATTACCGTTATTGTCAAAAAAACACGTAGTTCAAGCTAAACATTAGAAATGCTGAACACACACAGACTTGTGTTACTTTACGATACACTATGTGCTCACACACCACACATTAATCGCTGGCTCTCTACTCAGTGTGTCTTTTGTCCCGTCTTCAGCACTTAAACTCCCAACTGATCACAGCAGATTCTTCCTGTTAAAGGGGAGTTTATCCTTCCAACTGTTGCCAAGTGCTCGTCCGTAGGGGAGTCGCTTGATTGTTGGGGGTTTTCTCTGTGTTATTATAGGGTCTCTACCTTATGATTTAAAGCACTTTGAGGGGACTGTTGTTGTGATTTGGTGTTATATAATTAAAAATGAATTGAACTGAATTTTATGCATTAATCATTTGATTTTATTCAGGAGTTTAACAGCCAAGCTGCCCTGCCGTTTGAGGCGAGGCATACAATCAAAGGGGCACAGCACTGTAGACACTGTGCCAGTGCTGTCGAAGTGATTTCAGCTATTTGCACAACAGCAAGTGTGCAAAGTATTTCAGTATACTGTAGCGTCTTTCTTTCCACTTTATGTTGTGGCATCATACATTTGTGACATAACAAACATTTAATGCATTTATCCATTTCCACATCCCGTCCTTACCCAGACCAGGAAAAGAGAGGATATTTACGCCCACAACAGGTCATTAATCTCACACAAACCTAAAACAAACAAAAAGCCACATCCTCTCTAACATTAATGCCTGAATGCAGTTCAGCTGAGGGAGGATATAAAGGCCTCTGCTTGCCTGCCTGTGAAAGGGTTGAAATTCAAAACCTGCTTGCTGTGAATGATGGGTGGGAGCGATGGATTAATTAATAATGACGTAGTAGTTCTCAGAGAGGTGACAAAAATCTCATCTCGTCTTTCTAAGAACGTCTGAACTTTCCGCCAGGAAAGGTGTTTCAAACCTGTGGCACAAGGGCCAGAAACGGCCCATCAGATATTCCAGTTCAAATTACTGTAAAGTCATTAGTTGTTAATAATTTAAATGAAAAGCCTTTTTATGGTGTTGTAATTTGATGCCAGGACTACTAAACAGGAAAGAAAATATATGAGAAGTATTTTTATATTTAGACGAGATCATAAAGGCATAAAACACTTTTGCTCTGTTACAAAAACTTTTCATATGAAGGTTTTGGTGCCTTTAAAGATTCACTCTTAAATGTAAATTGTAATGTACATTTAATGAATAATGACTCATTATTATTGTTTTTTAAATATGTTAACTATGAACATTTTAGAGGGGTGTTTTTTAGGTTATCATTACCATAGTTTTACTGCTTCAGCCCAGATTAAACTAAGATGTACGGGCTCATACACTATGACTCCTCCTGGTTTAACCAAATTAGCACTTAACAATATATTAACACTCAGGATGATATATATTTTAGATATCATCCTGAGGATGATATATTTGTCCAGGATGTACCGGCCCCCCTGCAACTCTGAATTGGTGAAGTGGAAGAAAACGGGTCAATATTTCAGTCATGAATGGAAATAATGAGCCAACTGACCAGCTGGCAGTTAGAAGACATTTAAAAATCACAAATGTCAGCACTGGCAGAGAAAAAAAAAGTATCAGCTGGGACCATGAATATTACTGTAATAATAATAATAATAATAATAAGGTTTAGTACAAGCTGCCAAAAATACTTTTCTTGTATTTCAAAGGCTTTTATTTGGCACATAATTAGCAGCACAATTGTATGATGCATTAATCACAATACTAGCAGTAGATTACATAATATGTCTTCAAAATGTGAGCACTGAGGTCTGTGAACACTGGTTGATCTTGGTAGACACACATCATGTGACCAAATCTACACCCACATTTGTTATTGTTGTTGTTATTAGGGTTTTTTATGACTAACATTAAAAAAAAAAGTCATATGTATACGCATATTTCAACAGTACCAGTTTGGAAACTTGTTTCTGCCACTGATGGAGCCTTTCACAACTTGGAAAACTGGGAATTTAATTTCAGAAAAATGAAAGATGGAAATTAATGACAAATCAAAACTGTGAGCAAATCGTCTTTAGATGAAAACAGGTTTCATTTTACAGCTTGGCAGCTGATTTGCTGGGTTGAGGTCCCAGCCATTTCTCTCCTGAAACAGAGAACAAAATGTGACTGAATAAGAAACTGACAACAATAAGAAGGAAAAGTAGTGCCACTGCCTGGAGAGATGCATGTCTTTCTCCAGAGTGCCAAACACTTTTTTGTTTGTTTTTGTCATTTTGAAATCATAGGTGATTTACAATAAAAACAAAACTAGAATAACTTTAATTGTTACGGAGCAACAAGTTCAAAAAATAAGTGACAATTGATTCCTTAATATCAATTCAATATTCCGTTAAAAAGAATTACTAAAAGAGCCAAAAGTATGCAAAGTCTTTCACTGACTACAAGTTGAGGTGTCATTTTATTCCATTTACTTGAGCCAGTTTGATAGTAAATTTGTAGAGATGGCAGAATCGTATTCTCACCGATGCAGTGGGCCATGAGCTCAAATCTGTCAGATCCAAAGAACATCTCTGGCTTTCCATCAACATGACACACAATCATGGGGAAACCAAAAGCCTGACAAGGATTTAGGAGGAGAGATTTGGGTTATAGCTGATGGTTTGTTTGTTTTTCACTTTGCTTGATCTACAAGAGGAGCTGAAGGACAACTGACCCCATAATCAAGTGCTGCCTGTGTTGTGCTTTTAAGCTTCTCTTTGACCTGCGTTGAGGTGGACATGGTCAACAGTTCTTTTATCTCACTTTCAGACAATCCAGCTTTCACTGCTGCCTGCAAAAACACAAAAAGTCTCAAAATTAAATTGTGCTTCTTAATTTTGTTTTAAATGGAGCCAGGATGTTAAAGAGTCTGCACCTCAGACAGCGACGCAGGTTCAGTGATGTCTTTGTCTTCACTCCAGATTCTTCTCCACAGCTCACGGGACACATTCACCACCTTCTCTCCATCCTTTTCTTTTTCTTGCACTGCTGCCACAAATCGCATTGCAGCCAAGCTGCCTAGAAGAAGAAGAAAAGAGCACCTGAAACTGTCTTAATAGCTTTGCTCATTAATAATGTAGTACTTTACCAAAAACCTGTTACCAATCCTTACACTTACATTATTTCTTGTCAGGCTGCTGGAAGCATCCACAAGGCTAGCTCTGTGTATATCAAACCGGATGATCTGCAAGCCAAAGCAACCACCTCCACTGCAGTTTTGTTCTAGCCGTCTTTCAGCTCATTGACTCAGATTTACATGACGACTCTAAACATTTGATTTGCTGTCCTTTATCTCACCTTTAGTTTCATCAGACAATAATTTCTGGATAAAAACGCTCAGATGAGCGGACCACGCTACCTGCACAGCAACAGACTGTAGCTAAAGATGGCAACTAACAGGTCAACAAAGGCAAACATCAGCAAACATGTTTTTAAAGAGTCAATATTGGACTTTCATTCATATCAAATGCATGATACTGTTGCTGTGTATTTGCAAACAGTGCTAACATGCATCTGTTACCTGAACCACTATTGACAAAATCATGAGATGTCACATCTCAAGCCTAATATCTGAGTAAATCTCTTAATCTGCAGTTCTTTATTCGATCTTTGGTGAAAATCATTAAAAAATTTTGAAGGAGGGTTTCTTATGAACCATACAATAGTATCTGGAATTGTTGGCTCTCTATAGAAAGGGAAGTAAACTTTCTTAGGTACACACATTCATTGCAAATATCGATTCAGCCAATCACATGGCAGAAATTCAATGCATTTAGACACGTGGACATGATTAAGGCAACTTGCTGAAGTTCACACTGAGCATTTGAATAGGGAAGTAAGGTGATTTAAGTGACTTAAAACGTGGCATGGTTTTTGGTCCCAGACTGGTCTGAGTATTTCACAAACTGCTGATCTTCTGGGATTTACAGAGAATGGTCCAAAAACGAGAAAATATGACAGCGGTAGTTCTCTGGGGGGAAATATCTTCTTGCTGCCAGAGCTGGTTTCGTCTGGTTTCTTGAAATGTCATCAGACATCATCCAATAGAGCACATTTAAGATGTTGTGTAACTGGAGACTCGCATCATGGATGTGCAGCAGCTGTGTGATCAACATGGACCAAAATCTTTGAGGAATTCTTATGAATTAAGGCAGTTCTCAAAGCAAACGCGGGTGAGGTGTAGCTAATAAAGTGTCAAGTGTATATTGTGTTGTGCTTACAGCTTGTTTTGCCACAGCCAAGTGTTTTGAAGTATTAAATTAAATTTGCTTTGTGTTGCTTTAACACCATGTCACAAGTCATGACTATGACATTATCAAGTTAAGAATAGTAGAGTTTTCCCATATCTGAAGATAATCTGTTTTAGTTGCATGTTTCCCCCCCCCTTAAAAAAAACAATAAAAAGTAGTAGGCACTTATGTTTTTCTTTAAATGTGGAACTTCTGTCAAAATCAAGTACCATTGCTTTAGTTAAAATGTCTTTAGGGGTCAAATAGTTTGGGGTCTAATAGTCTAATCAATAGACATTATAGAACTGATTCTGCTTGTACCTTTCTTGAACATGGCCTCAAAGGGGTCAGCAGGCGACTGCAAGGGGACATTGAAGTATTCTGCCAAGCGGTTGAGATCTTTTGTCATGTACATGAACTTGTTAGGAACCAAACCAGGAGGCTTGTTGCCTGTCAAGAAAGAGAAATGTGAGAGCAAACAGAGTCAGTGCGCACCCGGATTTGACCGTGCAGCGTGTCCTGCAGCAGGTTTACAGGTGCCTGACTGATCTTTACTGACCCGCTCCGTGCATGATGCCACCCAGAAACGCAGGGCGCAGTTTGAGGTCGATGTTCCAAACGTTTCTGTAGCGGCACATAACCTGCAAACACATGAGATATTTGCGCATCTCCTAAACAAACCGATCTGATGCTGTGGTGCACACCAAGACGGCACAAACCTCGAAACCAAGCCATGAATACGGAGAAACTACATCGTAGAACAACTCCACAACTTTTCTGGAGGTCATCCTGGGGTCAGCAGCCGCTCTTTCAGTTGTTAGCGAGAGCTTTAAATGAAGAGCAAAAAAACCCGTAACGGCAGCGTGTGAATAATTCACAAGGAGTGAGTTTAGTTTTTGGAGGCAGCCTCTGAGCAATGTTCACTGTAACAAAGTTCAACTAACCTGAAGCAGAGCTGGCCGGGCTTAGCAGAAATAAAACTGATCGCAGCAAAGACCGCGAGCAGAAACCACTCGTTATTTTTAACAGTTGGCTACAACCGATGCTATATTAAATGGTGTAAAGACGGAGTTAAAAAACGATAGCAGGAGTTAGCCTGAGCTAGATAAATAACGAAAAAGCTCAGTAGCAGTGTCTGACCACAAGGGGGACCAAAATGATTTCGCCTACCTGCTCTAAAAGCTACAAATCAGGTGGTACAGAACAGCCAAGAGTCTTCCGCACGGGCTTCTTCTTCTTGAATGCCAGCAGGCAAGACAGCCTACATGTGCATTACTGCAACCTACCGACTTCGAGCAGTAGTTCACTCTCTGATAACCCTAAAGACAACCATGATGATTACAAACCTAAGCGCCAAAGCACGGGTGTGAAACATAAGGCTCGGGGGCCTGGCAAAGACTCCAAACCGGCCGATTGTACTGCTTTAGAAAATCTGAAGGAGGACATACATTTTTGACTTTTTTTGTATTTTCACAAGTTTTACACCTTTTCCTACTGATAAACACCTCTTCCATAGCTATTCATGCGACAACAAAGGAATAAGGTAATAGATATTTAATAAATGACAGAAAAGTGCCAGTTTTCCACTATCTAATATATATCTACTATAAAAATGTCTGGGTTTTTTGTTTTGTTTTTTTTTGCTATGAATAAACTTTGTCTTTTATAATTAAAAAAACGTCTAATTACAGAACTTTACAGACGGGCAGTTTAAGCCAAAAAAGTCATGATGACAGTTCATTTACTGCAGCAGCATTTCTTTACTATTTAGAAGAAATGAGGGTTAGTGTTGAAAACGCACTTTTTACTTATATTCTGATTTATAATGGATTGAATATATAGTTAAACTTCTTTACACTGACAGCAAGGGGAATTTCACACGTCCAGCTCACTCAAGATCAAAGTGGGCTGTATGTGGCCCACAATATAAAATGAGTTTTACATCACTGAATTAAAGCATAAGCATGTAATAGTTATGCCATATAGTGCACTATAGCTGAAATACTTTTTTTTTACTTATGCATAAAAATGAGTATTTTCTGCATATGTAAGAGATCTGAATACTTCCTGTACTGCTAATCTTGCATCTCATCACATATTCTTCTTTCTGGCTGAGTACAGCGCGTGCATACACTAAGTGATGACCTATTTAGTGCAGTTTTATTTGACGGACTCTTGCATATCTTATTCGAATCAAACAATCTTATATATTATGCAGTAACGGTTCACCTCCTTCTGCCTCCTTACCTGCATCATCACTCCAGGACAGAACAGCACGTCCCTTTATTTTGTTGCTTCATTTCATTGTTATTCCAGTGTTCTTGCCACACTTTGTTAAAATCAGTTTAGAAACCCTTTTTTGTGCATGTTTTGCTTTTATCCACAACCACCACAGTCAAGTGACGATTTGGTGTGAGCGGTCCACCTCCTACACACATGAATCACACACAGGTTTTTGAGGTTTTACTCTCTCACATCATTACAAAATTTAAGTTAATCTGTAGTCACTGTAGTCACATAGTATACAAATATTATTACTGTCTTGTTTATCAATTTTTTTTACAATATTTAAAAGGTTGGTGCTATCCAGATGCTGTATTTGTGCTTTATGTTGGTTGATTTGTATATTTAAGACATCAAAAATAACCAAGGATTTTGCCCAGTTTAGGTTTTGTATGGTTTTTCTGTTCAAGCTGTTTTTGAGTTCACATTTTGTCTCCGGAGTCTGCACTGTGGGTCCTCCAGACCTGCACACAGCCAACACCTGACAATAGTAACTGATTTTTCAAATTATGTTTTATTGGTCTTTAAAACAAACCATTTATTTTCTACATTTTATGTTCAGTTTTAATTTAATTCATTATATCGTGTTGCCTTCCTGCAAATTCAGTCTCTGGCATAAACCTGATATTGTCTTATCATTTAAATTCTTGTCATCTGTTTTAAGTCAAAACATTTAAATTTAACGATTCTCATGAATCTAGAATATCACTCCTATAACAGTCATATAATTATATTTTATGCATTCAGAACTATTTACTTTTATAGTCTATTTACATACAGGTCATCCACCAGGATTTTAAAGTCTAACCATACAGGCCAGCAATGTCTATATTCATGTCTAAAATCTACAAGTACGTTTTTGCTTTTATATCTCCTCTTGAGGACTTGTTTGATCTTTGAGTTCAGCTGCCCCCAAACTGTCAGTGGGAGCAGGCAGAGGTCCTGAAGATTTGTCACTAAAAAGAACAAAAAGTGATTTGTTTTACTTCCTCAGCTCATACACAATTGAACATTTGAATTTTTTAGAATATTTTTATGAGTCTCACCTATCTCCATCTTTCTCTGTCTGTCAAGGAAGGTAGAGGAGAACATCAGTGCATTTAGTATGAATAATCTTATGACTTTATTCAAACAGTTTCCATTGCACAGCAAGCTTTTTCTTTCTTTTTTTCTTTTTTACCTTAGCCTTCTGCGATGTGCTGCTAGCATTCTTCCTGGGGACCCCCAGATTCTCAAAAGAATGGCTCCGCACTCTGATGGCTCTCTGGTACAGGAGACAGAGGTAAGATGCTTAGAGTTAAAATTGTAAATTCAAACATGCAAGTATTTCAGAGAAATACAAACATTCACCTTAAAGTTTTCAATAAATCCCCCACTTCCTTCAGATGGCCCCCGCAGGCCCTCTGAAGTGGGGACAGCAATCAGTGATTGATCCCCCATCATGCACTGGGAACGGGTGAAGAGTTCAGCCTGCAAGTTCTCAAGGAGTGATGAACGAGTGCGGAGCTTTGTAAGAGTGAAGGAGGGGAAAATGAAAAGGGCAGAGGTCAAAGTCAGAAGAATAAAAAACACAGATATTCAATAATGAAGCGCATTAGGGAAAAGTGTTCCTCCATCTACCTCCAGTCTGCTGAACTGCTCAGCCTTATAGCAGGATATCTCAGCGTTAATGAGTTTAGCCAGCAGAAACTCTCTGAACTTTGAATGCTAAAGGAAGGACAAAGGAAGACAAACCTTGTGAGATATTTCACACACTGATTATACTGAGCTCCCTTAAATAAAGGACTGACACAGAGAGCAGGTGGAGCAGAAGCAACCTTTCACTAATTAAATCAAGGTGTGTTCGCATTCAAGCAGTCTGAATGGTCAGTGACGTCCAAAGGAGCAAAGCAAGGCAAGACAAAGGTTAGACTGACATGTTAAGCTGTGTCTTTTTAGAGCACATATTTAGACCTGTAAGAAAGGTGCAGGAGTTACTAGTAACACAAGCTCTGTTTTAGTGTCTCAATAAGCCATGACAGTGTGGCAATGAACCACAAAATACCAGAATTCTGAAACCACTTTCAGCCATCATTTTACTATTTACACCTGTGCCCACTGTGATGAGTCAAACTGACATGTCTCCAGTGAAGAAGGTTTGTCCACTAGAGCCCTAGTCTGGAGAGCAAGTATACACTTTAGGGCCACTTTGCCACTGCCAGGTTGGACCTCCATGTTTTGAACTAGTGGTTATTGAGTTACTGCTGCCTTCATATCAGCTCAATCAGCCTGAATTGTTGATACAAGGATGAACTCTTCTTAACTTTTTCATGCGTCACAAATTGTTGTAGATCTTTTGGCCACTTACTCTCAACTTACGTAGCATGACTCCTATTTCTAAATATCTTGTGAGACCTCAAATTTTTATGTAAATCTTTTCATAGCATGCAATGGGCCCCTCAGTACCAAGCAAGTAGGAAAAAAATTAGGAAGATTTCATTTCTGTAGCAAGCTCTGCCATCCGGAGATGAAGCAACCACACCATCTCTGTAGGGCTACAAAAGCTATTAAACACTTGACGTCCACTGACATTTCTGGGAGAAAATCACAGTGGACATCAAATGAATATTACTGACAAAGCAAATAAAGTACAATATACCTAAAAAAAATATATGAATTGGCTACAGCTGTTACATTAAAGAATAAATAAACACATAAACAAAGTATACTGACACAGAAAGCTCTGTTTTTTCTTACATCTGTAAAGACAGGGGGATCTGGAAGCACTGGACCAAAGGGAGGAACATCTTCTCTTGCCGTGACAGACACCTGCAGAAGGCAAAAATGGCAGAGATTAACAGAGATTGTTGCATGATGTCAGTTTATCACAGATATATTTGAATCAACAGCTAGTCTCATCAGCTGGTTTTCAAACTGCCAGGGCATTTGCCCCTGACTGCCACCCAGCAGTCATTAAACCTGTACTCTACAGTGCCTCCTGCAGGTGGTCAGCCAGCCCATGTTGCCTGTTCAGGCTGTGTCTGAGTGTCGGAGTGGGCCCTGTGGGATAAAGCCTGGTCATCAGGCTAGCTCCTTTGAGCTTCCTCCCAAGGTACATAGTATTCTGGTACCTGATGATTTTTTCTTCATCAGGGTTGTGTAAAATGCTCTTTGTCTGGTTCCCCAACAAGAAAAAAATTCCCTAGAAAGACTCAGTCAGGATCAAAAGCTCCTAACAAATATAGCCCAGTCGTTCAGTCGTTCAGGACGGATTGAAAGCAGCAATGCTGTTCTTCCGCACTGAGGTGGTCAAGGCATCTAATTTGGATACCTCCCTTCAGTGTACCTCTGGATGAGAGGGAGGTCTGGAATTCTCTGGTTAGGGTACAGCTCCAACAACACAGCCCAGATGAGTGGGACAAAATGGATGGATGAATGGATATTTGTATCTATATGGCAGCATATAAGTAACAACAATGGCTTTGCAAAAATGTCAGTGTTAATGCTGTAAGACACCAGCACTACCACACAACCACTACATCACCGGGCCACCCAGCTGCTATATTCCTTTACAAATATTCAATTTGCATTGATGGGGATGTATTTTGCCCACTTACCTGATATGCTGCTCCACCTGTTTCCTCTTGCTTCTGAATCCTCCGGACGACAATAAAACAGTGAAGGAAGTGAGACTTGATAACATCAGACAGAAAGGGGGTTTGGCCCTCCTGGCAGACCAAAGCTACGATGTCATTACCGATGTGCCTTTTTCTTTGTAGCTGTGCAGGGTGATGAGAAAAATGTTGGTTAGTGTCTAACAAAAAGTTGATTCATCCCTCCCCACATAAACCTAACTATACATAATATCCTCAGAGAGACTCTCCTGTGAATCATCAGCACAAACAGACTGAGGATGATGCGATTGATGACCTGCTGTGGGTCACCCTCTGTGTAAGGCAGTTTAGTTGCGACATGAAACATGATTTCTCTCCCACGAAAGGAAGTGTAGACTGCTTCACTTCCTGTCTGACCATGACACACATCCAGTCCTCCTCTAAAGCTGAGAAAAAGAGCGAGGAGAGAAGAAACCATGTGATTTTCCACATTTCTTGTGTCACTTCTTCACATTGTCAGCATACTTTACCCCGTGAATCCTTGCAGCTGAACCGTCTCTCCCAGAATAGACAGGAACTCTTTAAACTCCTCACTTTCCTCATTGTTACCCAGTATGTCTTCCTCAGTGAGCTACAGAGAAATGGATTTCTCTGAGAGGGATTGGTTATGATATGGTGCCATATTTTAGCCATTTTTATAAAAAATGCATGGCATTTTGAAGTAAAGCATCAGTTCTTACCTGCCTGTCCTTTTGGCACAAAACACCAAACTTGAAATTAGGAGAAACTCTGTGTTCATCAAATGTGGTTATAAGTTCTGGAGCCTGAGAGAGGAAGAAGAGAGAGTTGAAGAGCGAAGAGCTTCACAGAAAACATGCTGACATGTCACAGTAGGAAAGGCACAGGGAGAAAAACCACATCAGGTTCTTTGTATTACCTTTCTGCTCACTGTCACACTGTTTGGGACACCCGTTTGTGTTTAACTGAGCCATTCTTATTGTTTTTGGTGACACCTGTGGCATTCCTTCTGTGACGTATGTGAAATATGTGTCAATTTTTCAAGTCATTTCAGAGCATATTACCTTCAGGTAGCAGACCACGTCAAACTTTGAGGCAGTCACTCGGTCACAAAGCATCTAGAAAGAATGTGAGGAATAATTACAAGCGCTTGTCACGTATTCAGTGCTTGAAAGTGAGAACATTTATTCATGTACTGAGGTTTGATTTTGGAGTACCTTGAGCATTTCTTTTGGTTTATTTCTCCGTTTTCTACTGAAACAATACTTTTTACTCTGCTGCATTTTTTTTTTACATATATATTACTCTTTTAGAAAAACTGCAAGATTAAAAAGTGCTACAGTCACCATCTGCAGTACTGCAAAAAGTGCTGTCTGCTCAGTAGCTTGTAGAACCACATTAGCAGCAGCAACTTGATGTGATTTGAAGTTTCTGTATGACTTTATCAGACTCTCACTTCATTGCTTCAGTTCTTGGATGCTTGGAGACATTCCTTTACGCACAGCTCTCTTTAACTCCCACAACAGCATTTCATTAGTTTGAAATCTAGACTTTGGACTGGGCCACTGAAACACCTTTATTCTTTTTTTTCTGTCTCAGGTTTGCTGCTTTGTTTGAAATGATTGTCTTGTTGCATGGCTCTGCAGTAGCTTTAACTGGCCAACCAGACAGATGGCCGCCCGTTTGATTCTCCTTTACATACAGAGGGGTTCATTGTCAACTTAATCACTGCATGAAGCTGCAAAACAAGCAAAACTATTACCCCACCGCCACTGTGCTTAACAGTGTGCATGAGGTGTTTTAGGTAATATGTTGTGTTTGGATTCTGCCAAACATTGGACTGTACACTGTGATCAAATATCTTCATTTTCGTCTCATCGGTCCAGAAGATATTGTTCCACAAATCTTGTGATTTACACAGCTGTAGCTTTGCAAACCTAAGTCATGCTGTTATGTTCATTTTAGAGAGAAGAGGCTTTCTCCTGGCAATGCTTCAAATGAACCATACTTGTTCAGTCATTATCTAATTGTGCTGTCATGAACCTTAACAGTTGATGTGCTAACTGAGGGCTGCAGAGTTTGAGCTATAACTCTTGGGTTTTTTTCTACAAGCATTGCACAATCTGACCTTGGGGTGAATTTGCTGGCATGTCCATTACTGGAACAGTGTGTAATTGTGTTAACACACACACCTGAAAACTGCCAGAAGTTATGGTTTTATGGTGGAAGTCAGACTTGCGGATGTTTGTTTTAGCATCTAGCTGCTACTTACTGTCTTAATTCCTATGGAAGCATTGAGGGTGTGCTTAATTTTTCACAGAACAACATAGAGTCCAGTAAAAACTTTATTTTTCACATAAGTACGGCAATAAACAGTCTATAAAGTAGTTAGCCTTAGCCGCTCATCGTTTAGCTATTATGATGTCAGTGCATCCATAAAAATAATCAAACACATATGTAAGCTTTTAAGTACTTTAAATACACAGAATGTGCACAATTAATGCTTTTACTTGAAATAATAGTTTTTCATTTGTGGTTACTATTTTGCCAAATAGAAATATAGGTATGATACAGTAAGAAGTTTGATACCTTTGCTAATTCAACTGCAGATGGCAGGGTGGGGAAAAGAGACACAGAGAAGACTCCATGCAGAGAACACTCCTTCATCCTGTGAGACATAAAGCACAATCATTATGTCTTCTTTTCTGTGATGCAGTTTCTTGTAATAATCGATCAACCACGCTCTACATATAAACTATAACAAAGACACCTTAAAGATTCCTTTCAGAGATACTTTAAGATCTTTTGTGATGCACAGCATGCACACGGGAAGTTTTAAATGACCTTGTTACGCTTGTAAAAGTTGCATATTAAACCAGGATTGATTTCTAAAATGAAATTCTGCTTGTACCATGACACCTTCACATCAGATTTAAGTCAGATAAATATTCCTCTTTCAGCATATGAATCTGAAAGTTTACACAATAACCCTAGGAGAAAGACATTTTGGAGCTGAGGGGGCACTTACAGAGAAGCACAATTTTCTGTTAAACATTTTTGGCTGCATTGTAGCTTAGAATAAAAGATGTCTCACAGTAAGCCAAAATAGCCAAAGATCTCCACCTTAGAATCACCCTGAGCCTATTCTCCTCTTCCTCCAAACACACAGAGAGAACCAGCGAGCCCAAAGTTGGATCCACTGCTGTGAAAGAGTGATGGTACTGCGTGGCAAAAGGGTCAAAAACAATTAATATCAGTGCAGAAAGAATATTCCTATAGATTTCACAGTTAAAGTCTACTTACTCGTGAGCGGAAGAACTCGTGATAGATTTTGGCCTCACCATCTCTCTCCATGATGTCATAGCTCTCTGGGTCAATGGCATAATGGGAAGAGGTGGGACTCACATCTACCAGTCTGTCCAGAGGGGGGTCTATCCAGTAGCCTCCCAGTTTCGAAGGAAGGATAAGCGGCAGCTCTCTCCCAGTTGTAGAAAGTGGAGACTGATAGACACAAAAAAGAAGAATCTGATTGGGCTGATGTTTGTTTGGGGAAACACCTGTTATCATCAGTACAGAGCCTGTGTCACTTTTTTATTATTACTATCAAGTAGAGAAACCTTGAGAGGAAGGGGGAATTCACACCGTTGCTCATCGATCCTGCTGCCCTGATGGACAAGAGCTTTAGTGATTACAAACATCTGCTGCTCAGGCGTTGATGGATGCACACACCGCACAAAATGATTGACACTGTAACTCACCTGCAGCTTCTCAATGATTTCAAACAGCTCTGATTCCTAACATTAAAAAAAAAGAAGAAGGTGAAATTCAAGTAGAGAGAAAGGAAAGCAGAAGCACGGGTGAGGAAGAGGAACACGACTCATATTTCAGTCTTTCTCTAAACGGACTTCTAGAAATGTAGAACATGGATATTCATCCCTTAGAGTGAATTAAAATTAAAGCGAGAAAGTTCACACTAAAAATGATAAGGATGTCACCTTCTGGTTGCTGCTGGAAGAACGGAAAGGCTTGCGCTCACTGGTAGGAGAATCCAGGGTGTCCAGACTTTTGTCCTGCACGAATTCAGGTCTGCAGCAACAGGTTGGTTTACACAGCAAGACAGCACAGTTAGTAACTCCTTACATTATACAGGAAAGGTTAACATGTTAACTCAAAAAAGCTGCAGCAGAGAGGAAAATAAAGCCTCACCCCGTCTCATCCCCACATGTGAATCTATCCACACTGTAAACAAGGAAGTAAGAGCTTTTCAGCAACTTCTGCATAAACAGACAAGATGACTTAAATCTAAAAGAAGTGCCGTTTGTTCAGGTTGTGCCGCTGCTCCAAGGACTTGTTTTGTGCACAATGCCAGTCCTAATTTAAGACTAACAGTGTCTTTACTTACCTGCCATATGCCCCAAAAGTGAAACTTCTCTTTCTAGAGTAGGACATATCATTCCTCTTTTCTCTCTCCATGCCTTTGGTGTCACTGTGAATGTTTGTACATGCCAGTTTGGTGCTGAGTCAATCAGGGCTGGCTAAGGTTGAATTAATTCACTCTATCATTCTGTCACTCCTCTTCCTCCTCCTCTGCCCCCTGCCATTCACTCATTTAAGCTTCCCTTTCCTGCCTCTGTCCTGCTGTCAGCCAGACAGGCAGCATTAACCCGCTCGTGGTCACAGGTGCAGCCGCCGCCGCCGCTAACTGTAAGATGGACACGGTCAGGTGCTCCACGCTGCTTCGCGCTATCGATCCCGAGTGAACGCTTGTGGTGGTTTCACAGACCGGCTGAGCTTAAAGATAGGCGTGTAAATAAATAAAGAAATGAGTGAGACATTTTCTCCCGGACCTGCTACCCTTTGAGTCAGTGAGAATCATCAATTATTGACAGGTCACACAGTGAGGGTGAGGAGATAGACAGCAGGGGAGGTTGAAGGAGGGAGTGACAGAGAGAGAGAGAGGGATGGAAAAGGAAGTAAGAATGCGAGAAAAACAGAAAGGCAGGAATACATGCAATGCAAAGCACTCACCTGTTGGTTCTAATGCATTAATGGTTGCTGTCTGTCTCTGTGTTTGTCATAATGTGTGTGTAACTCTGATACCTTATTGTAAAATACACCCAGTAAGAATAAATTGTGTCAGAAATGTTCCTCCATTGGTTTTATGTGATTTGTCATATTTTATTCATTAAAATGATTTATTTAGTATGGTTTTGTTGCACTAATTATTTTCGTATTTACAGTTATTTTAGTTCATGGTTCTCAACGTTGGTGCTTGTAAGATTATTACTGAACTGGGAAAGAAGAAAAGAAACCTCTGGTACAACAATTTGGATTCAAAATTGTAAACTTTATTCTGAGTATTGCTTTTTCATGAGCAGATGGACCAACTTTCTAAATTTCAATCACCAGCTCAAATAAAGCTATGACATTTAAGTGAAATATCTCTTTGAAGGAACTGCAATGGCAAACATTAAAGAATAATTTAAAAAGGAAAACAGGTGGCTTCCTTTCGCACACAAACTTTGCAATGTATACAAGAATGCTCTGTTTAAAATGTCAATTTTATATATTTAAACAGCTAAACAGATAGGTTTAGCTATCAAGTAATCATGGTGGAGTAAAAAGCATAGAGTACTCAAGTATAAGGGATATGACTGACAGAAAAAGATGCACCTCCACTGAACTGGACAGTTCTGAAGCTGTGGTGGAAGTCACTGAGCAAACTGTTATCAATCATGACCACCTTCTGCACCACTTCCTGGACAGGCAGCAAATCACCTCCTCTTACGGACTTATAATTTCATACCACATTTTTTCACCCTGTATGATTAAAGTCCACTCTACCTTTTATCATTAGTGTGTCCCACACTTATTTTGTTCCCCCTCACTGCAAACGTGTCTCAATTTCCTTATCATATTTCAAAATTTCCTGTTCCTCTTGTTGTGGCTAGAAGAAAGTTTTGTATTTTTGTTTGTTTGTTTGAAAAAGAACAGAACTGTAATAACTGAACTGTTATAACAAAATAATTTCCCAAATCTGGGATAAATTCATTATTTCTTATCTTTATTGGTATTTTAACATTTGTTAAATATCAATGGAGCTTGTTTTTCCCCTTTATACTAAAAATTGCCATCAGGTTGTTTTAAATATCAGATTGTAACTGGAGGCAGGACCTTACATTACACCTTATCCTGCAATTGCTCATTTACAAACTCAAATATTAAACCCAAGTTTCAAGTTTTATTGTCATGTACAGATAAACAGTGTAGCCACATTTATCCATAATGAAATTCTTTGGCTCGTGCTCCTCAGCTTTACATGAGCATATAGAGAGTGTACAGCAACCCTACTGCAAATATGTGACCTTTAAGTGTCTTTACACTACTCCTTTTTAAATAGCTCTCTATTCGAGAGGCCTTTGTGCCTGCCTTCTTATCAATTGGTTACTTATTAACTGAAATGAGATTCAAATTCAAAATACCCTTATTTCTGTTGTTCACACAGCAGTTTACTGTACGGTTAAAATGCCATTAAGAAGAAAAGAAGAAACGATTGGTTCACTAAAACGCCACTCAAACTGTACACCGCTCTCATTGGTCAGAATCCAACTCGAAGAGTCTGATGGTCTGTTTACCCCGCGGAAGTTCGTCTGTGGCGTGTAGACGGGATGTTGTTAATTTGCGTTTAGTAAAGGGACTTACGGAGACATTTTGCTCATTTTTAGGGTGTGTTGATAGTCTATTGCAGGAACAGAAGAGAGGTAAGTAGTGGGAATGCGGGGAGTCATATTAAACCCACTTCAGTGCAGAGAAAGTCGAAGTTAGCTAGCTAGTTAGCTAGCGTTTATCACCATCAGCCAACACCATTTAGATTAGCGTAACTTCTCTTTTATTGTAACTCAGCATAGTAAACTTACATAGCTAATATTATACTTCCATTATTTTCCTCTTTATCTTATTATTTGGTAGATACTTTACTGAGTTTACCATTGTATTGTTCAGCTTCTGTTGTTACTGGTTTATTATTGCTGGCTCAAAGAGTGCCTCATGGTAACGTTATCGCTTGTGTTGTATTTTGTTATAAGGGTGTAACTGAGGAACCAAGCTAATAAAGTGACTGTTCCCAGTGTTGGACAAAAGCGTCCATATGCTTGTATTGTTCACAATGTTCGTGTATCTTGTTACCTGCTCTGGATACAGTTTTTGAGGGGAAAAATGTTGGAGTGTGGCATGATGGAGCGGGACAGACAGGCTCTCCGAAGAAACTCGGCTATCCTGTGCAGACAGCTGGTGGTGGATGAGCTGCTCATTCAGTTTCTGCAGGCAGGCGACATCCTCACGGAGAGCATGGCAGAGAGCATTATGGTATGTGGATAATAACTACTATATTAACAGTGAGGCAGCTGATTCTTAACAGTTATGGGACTTTGAGTTTCCTCCAGTTTGCTTAAATTGAAGTTAACTGAATTTTAGTTGGCTGTCAGCAACTTTGCTGAAGGTTATGGTCAGTTTTTAGCTTGTGGTTTAAATGTATGTGGGAGTCAGAACCTCTAATCCTCCCAGGAAATAGCTGTTAAGTAAAAGGTGACTACAGAAATGTTTCCTGCAGTTTTACAGGAACTACCACCATTTCTGCACTCTGGCAGCTAGTATAGGCTCCAGTGGCAGAGAAAACATGAGTTAGATAGGTAGTTAATAAAGTAGATGATTAATTCTACAATTAAAAA